AGTATTTTATATGAATATTTTGTGTTTGTTCGCCTTTTTTGTAACTTTGCACACATTTGATGCGATCACTATTTGCAGCATAATTCAGTGGAAGAGTTCCTGGTATTTTCCTTTTGCTCCACTGACAATAGTGTGCAGTGATCGTTTGAACCTAATAATTGATAAACTAAATAGGCCGCACTGTCACCTGGTGTTGTGCAAGACGCTTCTGATTGGATAACGAGGCGCATTTTGCCCTTTAACATTTCCAGTGATGGTTGCAACATGGCGCTGTGTGGAGGCACGGAGAAGAAAAAGATTTGTTCTTATTACGAAGGTACGTATTTCCATCTCTGGTGCTCTTCACTTTGGCGATTAACGTGTCAAGTGAAGGACCAGTAGCTCCGAGCTTACGGACGGTTTGTTTTAAACTGTATAGTTTGAGCCCATGACCAAAGAACAGCCTGTGAGGAGGAGGTCCAGGAATGCTGCCAACCAAGGGGGGGAAAAAAGGAAGCAGAAGAGGTAACCTGTGAATCACTACAGTCAGAACTAGTTTTATTATATTTACTTGTATTTTATTTTATTTACTTGTATTTTATTTATTACTTGTATTTTATTTTATTTACTTGTATTTTATTTATTACTTGTATTTTATTTTATTTACTTGTATTTTATTTATTACTTGTATTTTATTTTATTTACTTGTATTTTATTTATTACTTGTATTTTATTTATTTTATGTACTTGTATTGTATTTTTGTATTTTATTTTATTTTTATTGTATTTACTTAATGTATCTTTATTTGAGAGCATTTGTATGTAATGTCTTTATTTCATCTGGTTTCAGGTCAAAAGAAGAGGTTTAATGAAGTTGGTCCACTCCTGATGATGGACCTTTGTTGAATCCTGTGAGCAAGCTAAGAATTGCTGTTGTAATTTGACTTTTTTTTTTTCTTTAATGTGTATCTATGGACTTTGTGATTGAATGCATGTTGTGTTTTGCTATTAAAAGAATCAAAAGTTGTTGTTCTGCTGTTTATTGTGCAAGTGTTCTGGTTGGGTTTTTTAACGTACTGCTTTTTAGTACTTTTATGTAACTAAAAAAAACTTCATATTCATCAGTATTTGCTCAATATTTGGAAATGAATGCACAAAAAGGTCCAAAAAAAATTTTTTTATATAAAGTTTCAAATACAGCACAGCTTCCACAAAGTACAAAAAAGCTGTAAAACTAAGCTAAAGAGCTAAAAAAAATATACTAAGTACAAAAAATGAACAATAAAGCTAAAAAACTGGATTGCTATGCTATTAACAGATTTTTTTTTTT